TCGCCTTCATCATCGTCATTTGAGGACGCGGGCCAGGGCGGGTACGAGGGGGGCGGCGAGGGCGATGGCGGCGCGGACGAGGGGATGGGCATGGGCAAGGACTTTGGAGATGGGGTTCGGCGAGATGATGGCGGGGTCGGGGTTCTGAGGCGCCTTGGGCTGCTCCGTCACTCCACCCCGACGTGGGCGGCGCGTGTGCCCGCGGTGCGATAAGATTTGGAAGCCGCGGAGGAGGAGGAGTACATCAGAGGAGGTTATTTACATACTTACTATTGGTCTAATGGCCAAACTGTCTAATCCATCAGTTTTGCAAATCTTACGCGCTAATCAGGTCACAGGTTCGATCCTCAGTCATTACAATAAGTTGAAGTCCAGTACAAGTAAGTCAGTCAGTTCGATTCAATGTAGTATCAACCCCAACAACTAACAGGTGTATTTCAGGTAGTCAGTCAATACAAATCGCATTTGAAACAAGTATAAACTGAAAGTAAAGTAGACAGGCTAACGAAGCCAGAAAGTAAGTAAGTGGCCTATAGAACGTAGTAAGTAAAAGAAATGAAAAACAAGAGGGGTATCAATCCAAGAGTGTCCTGATTTCTTTTTTGTAGGCTTGTAAGCATCCTTCTACTTACCAGCCCTGATAAGAAACGGAAGGTCTTAGCACAAATAGTCTTCTTATAAGAAAACATATGCTTATGAGCCTATGAAGGCCGATAAGGCCAACCACGCCGGATAAGACCAGCCTTTATTATAAGTGGTGATAAGATCGTTTGACCTGATAACGAGCACTTTTCTGATAGCGGTCTTATCGGAGCGAATACCTCGGATAAGATCGGCCACTCGGATAAGATTGGCCGCGCTGATAAGGCGGGCCAATCTTATCCGGGATCTTTTTTTGTGTAAGAGTCCTATCAAGCTAGATCCTATTATGTCCTTATCAGGCCGTACAAGGGCTTATGCGACCTTTCAAAAATTTCCGACAGACGTCGCTTGTGGACATGAGCGGGAGGTGATTGATAACGGTGGGCTGGCTGTAGAAGTAGCCCGAAAGAGGTCTGTGATGATCTGTCTGTAGGAGCGGAGCTCCTGACGGCGATGAGGGTAAGAAGAAGCATGCCAGCTTCCCAAGCATTGAACATTCGCCTCCAGTCCGCCTCGGAGATGAGAGGCCGACGCACTCTAGGGCATGTCACGAGTTAACTCGCCGGTGACCCGGATCCGTGACCGCGAGTACCTGCGCCTCCAAATGTCCAACTCGGATCGGTGATGACTTGAGCCGTGGGTCAACCGAGTACTCATGGGTTTCGCAAAACTCACGAGTACTTGTGAGTACCTGCGAGTTTTGTGCATATTTAGTACATAATGAGGGTGATATATATGTTTTTTTACTTCAAATACATTGCTGTAACAGTCATTCAACAAGTGTTTCGCACTCAGGCCACTTCACAGTGCACTTGAAGACATTTTTATAGTAATTGTGACCTCAAAAACAAGTCGAATACCCGCGGGTTTCATTAAAAAGTTTCCAATTTCCAAACTCGGATCCGTGGCTGACCCGTGGCCACGGGTACTCGACCCGCGAGTCGGGTTTCCCACGAGTATTCCCACGGGTCAACCTGCACCGCAGCAGGGCACTATCTCGCCCGCAGAGACGCAGCGGCATGCTCCCTCGAGCTCGCCTGTGCAGGGTGGGTGGCACGCGAGCGTCTCCGTCTTACGTACACACTCGCATTCGCAGCTGCAGTCACACTCGTATAAGCGTGCTACTGCCTCGCCAGCGCACACCCCCGCACAGGCTTTAGGCGGCGGAGACGGAGGCGGAGGAAGCGCGGCGGAGACGGTTTCGTTCAGAATTGTGCTGGCCATCACCTCGACGGGGGCGGGTCCTGTCCGAGATCAAGCAATTCCTGGAAAGAAAGACGATATGGTCAGCTCTTGGCCCCTAGAAGCTCCGCCGCCACACGGAGAGCGAGGGAAGAAGTAAGTTAAAGGTATCGACGCACCTTGCTAATGCGACTCAAAGCCGAAGAACTGGAGGCAGTCGGAGAACTCTGCGGAATATTTGAAGATGCGGCAGAGGCGGAGCTGGCTGCAGCCGCGGAGCATTGTGCAGCAGCGGAACTGGGTCCCTCCGCCGAGTTTACGGGAGCAATCGAAGATTGCGGAAGACCAGAATCGGAGGTGGTCTCCGGCGGAGTTAGAGATGAGGTAACGGAGCTGGGTCCAACCGTCGAGTTCTGTTGGGCGGTACTATTACCAGGTAGAGTTTGGCGTCCCCGAAGGTATTCCCTGCAGGAATCAATTCCATTGTCCGCGGCGACGTGCCTCTATAAGCTCACCTCATTGGAAACGCCGTCGACAACGATGCCACAGTCAGAACCAGTGGCGAGGACAAACACCGAGCCTTTATGGACCATGTTCAATGTCGGAAATTAGAATAAATACAGGATTGTCGTAAATGTCTTATGTTCGTGAAGAAAGCGTTCCAAGAGTCTCGGAAGATGGGGGATAATATTCCGACTCGATGTCCAGCACACGAGTGGGGAGTGAGCATAGCTGGGGTCCCATAACGCGAAACCCGGTCTTATCAACGGTGGGCCTGCGTTGTTACAGCAATGTGCATCAGGCCGGAATAGCGGGGGCCAAGTCAACAATTGGACTGAGGTCGCAAAGAGCAACAGGGATTCGGAATCCGACGAAGCGGGTGCAAATCAAAAACACTACCACTCAACTGGATATCTTTCCCCGGCGCCCGCGTCCAGCGCCCGTCATCCCAGCGAAGTTATAGGTTTCCATCCAGACGAAAGTTCCCGTCGCATGGCCCTTTGATTTCAACAAGACGTTGGAAAGGGTGAAAGCAAGTGTATGTGCACCATGCAACATAGGCAGCCCGAAATATCGCATAAATGACCCAGTCAGGCAACAGGGAAAAGTGGGCGGGACGTCCCGGGGGCCTGGAACTATCAAAGCGTACCGAGGGAGCCACTGGACCTGATTTGATGAGCAGACACAGGCTAGCACAGGTTGGTGTGCTGGTGCGCTATCACCGGTGAGTTCTTTAGAATCCTGGGAGTTCAGGATGAATCAGGCTGGCGGATGTCCCGTGAAATTGTTGTCCCGGTGACCAGCAGTATCGGTGGGTAAGATTTGGGGAGTAGCAAGATGGGGTAGGTAGGTAGGTAGATTTGGGGAGTACTCGGAGGTAGATGCGCAGAGAATCAGACGAGATGCGCTCGCCAGCAAAGTCGGCGGTCGGTAGGCGGCGTTGGGAATCTGATTGCTGAACCTTTAGGTTTGGCTACCCAGGAGAAGATGGGTTTCGGGCCATTTTGCTACATGTACAAACAAAGATTTAGTCATGCAACATTGGTCATCGGACAAATAAAATCGGGAGAAATTGGGGCAAGACATGAAAATAAATCAAAAGTGTTAGGATGGATTTTTTAATTCCGTACCGTCCTAAATCTCCCATGCAGGCCCACCTTGTCCCCTGCAACCAAAGATATTCTCAAAGTTTGATTTTCTGTCATTAGTCATTTCTGCTTTGTGTTCGGAACTGTATCCGTTGACAGATCAAAGCCTGGGCGGCCGAAGAAAGCCGATACTGAACCTGCCTTCAGACTTGGCTCGAGTTCGATGGAACTATCTTAGGTTTGCAGAAAAGGCCACTACTTGCAATCCAGATTCAACATGCCTGCTCCTTTATTTTCAGGGAAAAATTGCAGCAGCGTCCAAGCAGTGTCACGGTTACTTGGGCACGGTGAGAGGGCTTTTCTCAACCATTTGTTTGACTTTATCTCCTCCTCCATGTACAATATGCACCGGATTTGAGTTTGAATGTCTCAGCCCCTTGGATTTCCCTGGAACGGGTTGATTCTTGACTTGTACACACAACCATTAAGTGTATGGATTTTTTTGATCACTTGGCTCTCATTTACACCTGGGGAGAAAACTCTTTACAGCAGCACACGAATGTTGGGGATGGTTAACAAAACAACTTCCCTCGTTCCACGAGTCAAGTTGGTTTTTTTTTGAGTTCCTCCTTGGTTCCTCCCCATTGCGCTTTCTCCAGGATCCTGGAAAATCTCTTACAGCAAATGTTCTACTAATTCAGAGTTCTGGATTCCAGCTACAGTTATAATTACTATCATTTGACTCTAGCCTTGCATTATTGTTGCCTTATCCTGAGATTATGATCACGATGGACTATATCCAAGAAGGGGGAACAAGGCAATACTTACTTTCCAACTGGATTTTCACTCGTGCGGACATGTCTTCTACCCTGATGAGAATACGACCCCTAGTTGTTAAAATAATAATATTGGCCTTTGTGGATTTTACTGTGTCTCAGCCAATGGTCGTGAGTTCTAAAAAAATTCGGCAGAGCAGTTTGACAATGCCTATGGTTTCACGCTCTTCAAACTGAGAGGTGAGTTTTTGAACCTAAAGGTTCAGCTCCTGCCTCGAAGAGGCCCAATCCCAAGTCATAGTTTTGATGGATCAATGCAGTATCAATGCTCGGATCACACGGCCATCACGTGACACGTTTCTTGCTCCGAACTCTCACCACCGGCAGGCAGTCTGTGCCTCTGTCTATCTGTTGCCTCAAGTCCCTACCTCTCGCACTCCGTGAATCCCTGGCGTGGACCCCGTCCCCGGCTGGGCACGGGCATGCGGCCAGCTCCTGGCTAGCTTCTTGGTTTCCTTGGGCAACGCGCTCTCTTCTCTTCTTGCAGGTCTAGCTGACTCAGAACACTGCGAAAACTTAGAGTATTGGAGGCATTGTTCTTTCCTCCCCTCTCGATTAGATCTCCTTACAACTCTCATCATTTCTCCTCGATGCCCTCCACCGCGAGAACCTTTCGGCCCGCGGTACGTCGTTCCAAGCTTCGTATTCGATGACTTGTTTCTTTCCTGTTCATTCATTCATTCACACCGACCCTTAGTTGTGCCCTTGCCCCGATTGTGGATTCCCGACAGCCCCAGCCTGACCGCACAACGACCCGATGGCGGACGGCCGCATCTGCCATTCGTTGATGTTCCGCTATGTACCAATAACGCAGAAGACCCTCGTTCGACTCGAGGTCGGGTCATAGGTAGGGTGAAATTGCGTTTTTTAACTCCAGGACTGCAGGATTCCAAATCCGCTTCAGAATTCCAGCTTTCGGCAGATATTCCACCCTAACCTTCTTCTCTGAACGGCTCTTGGACTTACCATGCTCACAAAATCTCCCTTCGTATTCCCGCTCCAGTCACCCTTGCTGAGACCCGGTGGTGAGGACTGCATCTGCGCTCTATCAGGACGCGAATTGCACGAGTTACCAGCGGAACACCCCGTTCGACTCGGGATCGGGTCTTTCGGGTGCGAGAAATATATTGTTGATCCCCCTTCACCTGCCCGTTCAATTCCTATCTATCACTTATGTCAAAAGTAGAACTGTACCTGATTCACCGCTTTCGATTTTTTTTTTGCGGGCCGTCCCAATACTTTGTCTAGATCTGGTTAGCCATCATTCCACCGCACCCCTCCTCCCATTGATGCCTCTCTCTCCCATATTTCAGATCAGTACAGCCCTCCCCGGGACCCGATGGTGAGGACCGTATCCGTGCCCTGTTTTCAGTAAGTAGCATGAGATACCGGAGGAAGACCCCCGTTCGACTCGGGGTCGGGTCATTTCCCTGAGGCGTATGTCTTTTTTTATTCTCCTTCATCCGAACATTTAATTCGGATCTATTATCCCAAAATATAACTCTGTCTGACTCGCCGCCTTCAAAATCTTCTGTGCGGGCACCATCCTTGTTCTCTGTCTGGTGAGCCATCATGTCACTGCCTTTCATACTCCCTCTCACCGTTATAAAACCCGATGGCGAGGACCTCATCCTTACACTGCTTGCGATGCTAGCGGGATAACTCGTTCAACTCGGGGGCGGGGCATTCGTGCGTTCAATTTTTAAAACGTGTCTGTTGACTCGCCGTCTCCCAACTACAGGTTGCGTGCCATCGCCATTCTATCATTTGAACTCACCCCTCCTCCAGATAACACCTCTCACATTCCCACTACCATGTTCGTTGAGAAGACCCGATGCTGGAGGACCGCAACCACCCTCTGTTTTCACGCCGCCATTCAGATACCAGCGGACTATTCCCGTTCGACTCGGGGTCGGGTCATCTTTGGGTACCGGTGATACGGCTTTTTCGTTCTGTTTTTGCTGTGCGGTGGGTTTTTCTGCTTGGACCCACAAGGCATAGAGGTATAGATAGCAGATGCGGCCTTCCGCCATCGAGTCCGTTCAGCAGTATTCCAGGCCGGGGTCCGAGAAGGGGAATCTTGGGAAAAGAAAAACTGCGTTGACCTGAGTGGACGTGCAAGGGTCGAAACTAAGGGCTAATCATTTATTAAAATGTTCACCTGTTCGAGCCAAACCGCTAAACTTCGGAGAGTACGCAGACAGAGTTCCGAATCGCAGGAAAAGAATGCGCTGGACAAAATAGAAGCGACCTATCAGCTTTCCTGCCCATGACCCGGCCCCGAGTCGAACGGAGTATTTCTGCTTCTCAATTGAGGAATGTCCTATATAATACATCGCAGATGCGGCCATCCGCTATCGGGTCGCCAGTCAGCTTTGTTGCACCCTGATATGTGAGAAGTTCCTAACGATTATCGAGGACTTGCGGACAGAGTCAAAACAAAGGGAGAGTACGCGGGAGGACCACAGAATTGCGAGGAAGACGACGGAAAAGATTCACATTTACAACAGTATGGGATTCGCCTAGTCGAAGGGTTGAGATCTGGGAGGTGTGCGAGAAACTGGGGGAGCAGGGGAGACAGCACGAAAAAAAAAAGTGCTCAGCGGAAGCCTAGAGCCTCGACCCCGAGTCGAACGGGAGATTTCTGCGGGATGAAACTACTAATCAGCCACAAATTGCAGGCACGGGAGTCCGCCATCGGGTCTGGGTGAATGTGTAATGCAGCGTAGAGTGAGGAGACGATTCAAGCGAAGATCCGGACGGAGGCATTGCTGGAACGATTGGTTGTCAGAAACGGATTACGAATAATCAGCCCAGGAACAAGAAATTCAGAGTAGATCGCAGGCAAAGTATATGCAACAGGCTCGCCTAGGTTCGGGTGGCTTCCGAGAAGACGAAACGAACGATGTTGACGAAGGCTCAGCGCTCAGCGTGAAAGAATTACAGACTCTGGTAGCCGCATACGGTTGCCAATAAGTCCCAGCTTTGGCTTGATCCGGCATCGATCATTTTCCTTTTCTCGTCTACTTTTTAGTTGTTCAGTTCTTCTCTCACTGTTTTCTGCTGACAGGCCATGCTCCCCTCAAGCATCTGATGCTGCCGCCGTTGCCTGATCATCGTTTCGCTGCAGGAACGGCATGTCCTCGAGGTCGCGATTCTCTATGCTCTGGACATGTTCCGAGTCTGCGCAAAGTTCTACACTGGGGCTATTTGCCCTGGCAGTCAATGTAGGGTGCATATCGTGCACGTCGCCATGCTCGGGGCCCTTTCTTGATGTCCGTAGACGTCCAGTCACTGACACGAATAGCTCACCCAGAGTCGAGGACTCGAGGTGGACGACTGTCAATATGCACGGGACATATTATATATACGATTATCCATAACATTGTCCGTTTTTCTCGTTGGATCACAACTTCATATCATTCGACTCGACTTTTTACTGTGGAACAAGTCTACGCTAAGCAAGGACCTCTCATTCACGTATCGGATACAAGAAGAGCCTGCCGGAACCTCCAGACTTTTCTGCCGCCAACTCGACACACTTGCAGCGTATACACGTCTGTCGCAGAGTCAGCGAGCGATAGGTGGGCCGGCATGCCAGGTGGAAGGGAAAAAGGAGTTTGCTTACCCGTTACAGGTAGTGTCCAGCCGGTAGTATCGTTATGAGACGAAGGTAGATTATGACCATTCACATAGTTGGTTCAGTTGCGCATCCCGGAAGGGGTAATGAGACAACATCGAGGACACTTCGGCGGCGTTGACAGGAATGGCCCATGGCAAATACTTGGATTGCCTAAGTGCCTTTTCCGTGTCCGTCGGGGACAGAAAAAAGTCACTTAGGCAACTAAAGAATATGCCGTGGGCAAGTAAACCATCTGTGCGTCGCATGAAGACAAGGATGGAAGGAGTCATTAAAACTTGCCTCTGAATGCAAGCCTTTGTTGACTTCGACAAGTCTGCAGTAATAAATTGTAGACATACTGGGTTCTTGATCTTGACTGAGTATCTTTGCGACCACAAACTCGAGAAGGGCAGCCGCTGCGCCGCTTCTGTAGTGTGAACGTACTGGAGAATAAATATGTGGTTTTCCAAGCTCGGCGGTGGAGGCTCAATTGATCTGCGCTCCAGCTGCATCAGCACCGAGTGGGGAATATCTGTTTCCTTGGCACCGAACAGACAAGGTAAGCCATAGGAGGAACGGGAGTCGGAATGCACCAATTCGAGTCGTGGCCCCTGGAGATCCTTTGACGGCTCTTGAAACCCAACCGCCGACACGGACTTGCAGTCCGTATAGTGTGCGCCTCGGGGCGGCACTGGGCAGGGTGCCCTTGCACTGCGCAATACCGAGGGCATCGAGGAGTTCGAGGTGCCTGACGGGCAGCTTGATGACCTCCTTGATCTACTTGATCTACTTGATCTACTTGATCTGCTTGTCGAGCCCACCGACCATCCCGTACGTGCTGTGGGGCACCTTAACCATCATGAGGGAGACGATGCGTGTTGGGCATAATCTTGGGGCGGGGCAACAGAACGTCAATCTTGGAGTCCGCGCCGACGGCTGGCCCAAATGACACAGTGAGAAAATAGAGCGCAAAGGACACACTGCATTTCCCTTCTGGTTGCGCCTTGGCGAGTAATTACCTTCGTCTTCAATATTAAATGGTCCAAGCCATGCGAGCTTGCTGAGCGATCTTCGGTGACGTGCGCAAGGCAGAAAGTGGCGGCGAGAGTGGCGGCTGTAAATAGGTAGCTCATGAATCGAGTAGTGGGCCGGGTAGAGAGTGGTTGAAGGTTTGAGGATCATATTCGACTCATATGCAACGAAAGATGATGGATTGCCAAACAGTCCAAAGCTGGGACTTATTGGCAACCGTAGCCACGACACCATAGAAAGATTGAATGTTTGGGGTCGAGAATCGCGCCAGACAGGGAGAGAGGAGAACGGAATCTTTGGAAAAAAGCCGCCAGATCCTGAGAAAACGGCAAACTTCTAGAGATTGAAGATGCGACTCGTGCAAGGCCGGACTGGCCCACGCTGCGCATGAAAGGAAGCGCGCGGCTGTAGGCCGGAACGAGGCATTTCGAAAGCCTCCACCACACATTCGATTCCATTAAGACTAATACAGTTCTCGAGTTGTGATGAGACACCCCGCTCCTTGGGTGATTTGAGTGGAACGCCAACACGCGTATACGCATTCCGTCCTTGTCGCATATTCTGCAAATTTCGTCGGATGCTAGGACGATTGAGGGTCCTTCAAGGAGGTCTGTCGCCAAGTTCTAGGAAATTTGACCCAGAACAAATCGAGGGCCTGAATAAAGAAACTTCCATGTGCTGAAAATATGGTTCAACACCGCGCACAACATTCCGTCCTTGTCGCATATTCCGCAAATTTTGACAGATGCTAAGATGATTGAGGGTTCTTCAAGGAGGTCTGTCGCCAATTTCTAGGAGATTTGACCCAGAACAAATCGAGTGATTTCTGAATGGCCGCTGTTTTTGTCAAACATTTTCAACAGCAGATTTGTCTGGATTACTGTCCCAACGTTCCTCACCGTGCCGAAAGAAAGAATCAACTAGTCGATCGGGGCTCGACTGTTCATGTGGAAACGTGCCACAAGTGATTTCTAGCACTGCGTGTGGCGCGAGTCGCGGGCTGAACAATAAAGTTCAAACACTCGAGCCAAAAATCTATGCGCCGAGAAAAAGAAGTCAGTAATCAACTTACACTCGACGGTTCATGCGGAACCCTGTCGCAGGTGATTGGCTAGACCCCTTGCGAGAGCGGTACCACCACTAGGGCACTGCGTGTGGCGTGAGCAGGAATATATGGGTTGCCCAACATT